AATTTACCAAGGGTTCACAAGGGTGGGAAGGTGGGGAGGGAGGGAAAAGAGAGGAACTGATACCAAGGGCTCAAGTAGAAAGAAATGTTTTGAAAAAGATGATGGCAAGCTATGTACAAATGTGCTTGAGACAATGGATGGATGGATTGTTATAAGAGCTGTAAGAGTCCCAGTAAAATGATTAAAAAACAAAGCAAAACAGGAAAGGATGAAGCTCTAAAGTTCCCTTGATGAGGCATCAGCGCATTGTGTTTTGCGGCCTATACAGATCAAAAAGGGGAGCGGGTTTGCAATGGGGGCAGTTTGGTTCTCACCAAAGACAACTGGGTTGGAAGCTGGGTGACAGAAGGTGATCTTTTGGGCTCCTCCACTCCCCATAACAGGTCTGGTCATCTTGGGAACATAATTTAGCATCTTGGTTTCTTGACCTTTGAGTTGATGGGTTTTTACTCATAACCTTTCAATTTCACATTCTAGAAGTCAAAAATCTCCCTCTCAAATAAAAATAGCTTTCCTCTCTTCAGTAGAATTTGGAGGCCACAACCAAAACTGGACACTGTGTCTCCGAGTTCCTGTGTGCAACCTTGGTAACCTTGTGCAGGGTTTTCCATTCCTGCGAGATGTGCCTGTGCTAAGTGTCCCTCTGAGAGAAGAGGCCTAGCGGCGCTGTCCTTCCTCTGTTCTAAATTTATTTGTTTCTGTTCTTCAGCAAACCGTGAAGTGGATGAAAGTTGGCATGTCATATGATTTATGTTTGCTTACAAATGCCTTCCCCGTGCTGGGGTCCCTTTTTGTGCAAAGGGATGGAGTCTTGGGGCTGGAACACATCAATCCCTGTGTCATCATTTGCGGCTATTGCTTGATAGGATGGTAGGCAGTGTTTGTAAAACAACTTCAGGACTGAAAGTGGCCTCCCTCAATGTCAGAACCATTTGTAGCAAAGGAGAAATTGCATGAGCAAATAAACTAGGAAGCATCAAGGGTAGCCAAGCTAATGAGCAAGAGCACCCCCTTCCCCCAGTATTGTTTAGGGAGTACATGCACTTAGGAGGGGATCCCTTATTTATTCACACAGGGATAATAAGGAATTTTCATGAACTACAAAGACTGAAGCCAGGCATTCTCTTGTATACTCATGTTTCTGTTAGCCTCTGGGAAGCTGGCAGCCAGATTTGATTGATTCGTCCTTTCATGTATCAGAGCCTTATTTTCCTCCTCTGTGACATGAGGTTAGACTCCATCTTTGTCTCTTCCAGCTCTAAACATCGTGGAATATGCAATTGTCCTTTTGTTTGAGAAACGCACTCATTGCAGCATGATTGGGCAAGACCTTTTTGATCCAGCATCCATGGGAATGAGCTCATCCTTCCAAACGGCTGAGCTTGCCATGGGACTGACATTGATATTCTTGAGAGGGGCTACCAGGAAGCTCCTTTGTAAGGACTCCAGGGTGGCATGCTGTTTAAGCTCTCTTCTGATAACCAAAAGGTGACTGAATCTACACCTGGTGGTCTGTTGCTATAAAGATTATGGCCTAAGGAAAGCCAGCGGAGCAGCTCTATTTTACAGGGTCGTCCTGGATCAGAAGTGACTCAGAAGCAACGAACAAGAACCCTTTAAAAATACAGTGTCCCACTAAGCACTCTCATTTCTATTATTTGTGTGGTGGGTAACACGCTAAATCACGTAGTTCAAGAGCCAGGAGATACGTATGTCCGATTCCAGAGTTCACAATATGATGACGGTGGCATCTCACGACTGATTATATTTCTTCTCAAAACCACTTTTCATTTCAAATCTTTTGAAAGTATGTTTTTGGAAGCATACTGTCCGCTATTAAAAAACATCCAACATCCAAACATGTCCGCGTTTAGTGTTTCCATTAGGGGTTGCAGTCTGCCGGCACTCCGATTTGACAAATACGAAAGCCTGGTGTGAGTTTCAGAGTTGACTCAAAATGTCTGTGTTTGTGGCACACGGGAATAATCGATTTTATTTTTGCTTCCAGATGATCGAGAGTGACCACAAGGTCAAACGTTAGGTGTTGGTGTGTCCGGTTGTCCATTCTTTTTTAAGGGAGTTTGTGTGATTTCACTGATAGTAGAATGTTATATTTCAAGCTGATATTAGAATGTCTGAGATTATAGGACAAATAATAATAGCGGCTCTTTACTGGGAGCCCTGGTAGCACAATGATTAACAGCTCAGCTGCAAATGAAAGGTTAGAGACTCAAATCCACTGGCTGCTCTGCAGGAGCTTGATGTGGTCATTTCCATGGGGCAGGTCTGCCCCATCCTGTAGGGTTGCTATGAGTCAGAATGAGTCGACAGCCGTTGGAAAATGAATCACTTGTTGAGTGTTGTGTACTATTCTAAAGGGTACTATCTTACTTAATTATCTCAGCAACTCTATGGGGGGTAGGAATGGGGGTTTTACTGAGGAGGACTAAGAATCACAAGGTAGTGGTGTCAATTGTACAAAGGTTGCATAACTCATAAAGAGTAAACCCAGGTCTGTCTAATTTGAGAGCTTGCTTCCTTTTCTGAAACATGCGTTCTCACAGTGAGATGGATTTGTAATGCAAGCCTCAGCCAAGCTCACGGATTACTTGCTGTGTATTTAGTTTGATCTAGTCTTTTCTTCCTACTTTTCTGGTTTGCTTTTTAGTATTACACATTCCCTTGCCTTACCCCAATAAACACTTTATAGATAAAGAAGACATTGCCATGGTCCTAAAGCATCTTGCTAGTGGTCTTTAAACATAGAAATAAAGGACTCTCAATTATCCACTAAGGGGCCCTGGTAGCACTATCAGGAGGGCATTGGACTGCTAAACAAGAGGTCGGTGGCTCAAACCCACCAGCTGCTTCAGTGGAGAAAGATGAGCCCGCCTGTTCCCGTAAAGACTGACAGCCCGAGACACCCTCTGTAAGGTTTATGGAGTCAGACTGTACACGCTAGGGTTGGGATTGGTTTTCTGGGTCTTATCATAAGAGAAATATTTGCTTACTGGAGATCTTAAGATATTCAGGAGATTTCTCACTGTTACGTATTTGCCTGCCTGCATAACACCTGAGCTATCCAAGCTCAACGTCTCTTTCGGCCACTGACTTTATTGTGGCGTGTCCTTCACTTGCTTGTCTTCTTTGATGGCACGAAGTCAATGAAGGAGAGCATATCATCGTTTGGGGCCAAGACGATATGGATGTTCCTGTCTAATCACTATGAAATAGAATTTTCACTGTAAACACGAAACCATTGTGCAGAAGGATTATGAGATTTTCAAAGCGTTTCCCCTTCCATTGAATGTCTTAGTCTAGTTTGTATAACACTTGCCATCCACTAGCCAGTGTAAAACATTGACGGCTAGTGCTCTAGAGTGAAATTAATATTTAGAAAAATAAATGCTTCCATGCTTCAGTTTAAGACCAAGAAAAGGGCTTGGGGGATTGAATTTTATTTGGAATGTTTCCATTTGTTAAGTAGCAGGTATTATAAAATGAAAACACCTTTATTAAATTAATAAGCTTAAAACTTACAGCTCTTATAATAATCCATCCTTATAGCAATTATATCAAACACATTTGTACATATGTTGCCATTATCATTTTAAAAACATTTTCTTTGATGTCAAAGTTGCTGGGAGACTGAAGTGGAAATCAATACAAACTTCTCACTACCTAGAGGGGATTGAGTTTGCTGATGCTAAAATGGAAACTGTTCTATTTTTATTTAAATAAGTGACTTCTTTTCAAATTCTTGGAGTATTTCCCATCCTCCTGCAGACATCACCTACTCCACACACTCTGGAAAGGGAAATGAGCCCGATGAACACACAAAATACAGAGAACTGTCTGCGAGCCACAACATGAAGAGCCTGCCTTGTTTGTTCAGCCTTACCACGTGTTCCACTTCTGACAGGGTGCTGAGGGACTAAAACGCTCTCTATTAAGAATCTTCTCTACTTTCAGCCTTCAATTTTCCTTCTCTGAGAAGTTTTTGATTTATACCACAGCACAGCACAGCACAGCACAGCACAGCAAACTCACTGCCATTGGGTGAAGTACAGCTCAGAGTGATCCCACCACCAGAACTGCCACTGTTGCGCTTTACAGGAGTAGAAAGCCTCTTCTTTCTCCAAAGGACAGCTGGTGGTATTGAACTGCTGCCCTTCAAGTTAGCAGCTCAACTTGTAATCGCTATGCCACCAGGCTCCCCAGGGTTTAGTTCACACAGGTTCCCACTCTCTCCAGGTTTCGTGTACACGATTTTCTTTTACATTTTGCTTACTTAACATCCCTGGGTATTGCCAGTCGGTTTGCACTAGACAAGATGAGCACGATTTTCTTTTACATTTTGCTTACTTAACATCCCTGGGTATTGCCAATCGGTTTGCACTAGACAAGATGAGGCGGCTACGAGTCAGAATGGACTTGCAGGCAGCTGACAGCAACAGTTGCTGTCCCCAAAGGTTGCTGTTTCAAACCTACCCAGAAGCACCTTGGTTGAGAAGCCTGGTGAGCTGCTTCCATAAAGATGACAGCCAAGAAAATTCAGTGGAGCTCAGTGTTACTCTACAACCCCAGGGTTTTTCCCCGGGAAGCCACTTTATGGTGGCAGGTTAATGGACTTGAAGTGATAAGTTCACTATGTTTTTAAAGTTTCTCTTTTACTTGGAAAGGATCCCTGGTGGTGTCCTGGGGTAAGCATTGGGCTGCTAAGTGCGACGTTGCTAATTCAAACCCACCGGCTGCCCTGTGGGAGAAAGATGAGACGTCTGTGCCAGGAAGGCTTTCCAACGTGGGGAACACGGCAGAGCGTGGCGATGGGTGGGAATCAACTTCACGGCGGTGGGTTGGTGTTGAGGTTTCTATTTGGAAGCAACACTGAAAAAGATGTCCGTTTCCCGGGCCCTGCTGGCAGCCTTCACCCCACACTGTTAACGTCCTCCTGCTTTTCTGGAAGCTGCGTGTCCTGAGTGTGCTTTCTCTCTTTACAGGGTGTTTCGCACAGGTGGAATGTGGAGCTGGAACTGGACATGGAAGCTGGCCTCTCTTCTCTTCTGCTGTGCTCTCTACAGCGTATGTGTTCCTCACTCAGGTAAGCAAGACTCTCACTCAAACCCTGAGCCATGATGATAACATGGTGAAAGTATGCTGCTTAGTTAAGGCACCTTAAGTTTATTTACTGTGATTTTATTCTATTTCTATCCTTACAGGCCTCCCCTACCCCATCCCCGCCCCTAATCCATCGCCTCTTTCTATACTCTGCGTTCTTTATCAATACAATTACTTCGACAGTTGGTTTATTTTCTAATGACTATATTTTCTTTACCCTGAAGACCTAGTGGTTACACGTTGGGCTACTAAGTACAAGGTCAGCAGTTTGAAAGCACCAGTCATTCCTTGGGAGAAAGAGGAGGCTTTCTATTTTCATAAAGTGTCGCCATCTCAGAAACTCACAAGGGCAGTTCTACTCTGTCTGTCAAAGAGAAATGATTGTACAGATTATTCTGCAATCATACCATGAAATAATGTGTCGGCATTGAAAGTAGTGTTGTCAAAATATATCTATTGGACTGGAAAGATGCCCATAATAATAATGTTAAATTAAAAAATAATAATTAATTTGGAAACAGATAGCAAGAATGATTGCATATCTTGAAAATGTCGTCAATATCACTGAATTATGCTTATAGAATTTGTGGAAATGTTATCTGTTTTGCTGTGCATATTTACACAAAGATACACATTGAGAGAGAGATACTAAAGCCCCAACCATTTGGGAAACTTAAAACAAGCAAGATGAAACATAGGACCCCCAAAGCAAATGATAAAATAATAGATATTATTCTAGTTTTATACTAGCTTCCATTGTACACACCTGGGCTGTGTTATTTATGTGTATGCTTGCGTAAGTCCAGATAAACCTATTAAGCCATGGAATGATATGTCCTAGGCGCTTAGCATGCTTTATCTCAGGTATGGGGTTGGAAGAAGGGGGTAGACTGTGGAAGTTTACACACCTCTGAATCATTTGCCTTGTTACCATCAGATTACATTACTTCAAAGTGAGTTGAGGTGGTTAAGTGATTCTTTGGTCAAGAAACGAGAAAATAAACCGCTTAGGAAAAAATGGCCAGTGACGCGATAAAAGGGAATGAGCACTTAACCGCTAGCCAGAATCTCTTCCCACCCGATACGAATCTCTACCGGGTGTTGGAAGCACTCGCTTCTCTTTGTGTGCCACTGATGCTGGAGACACAGAGCGATGCCTCACGCAGACAGGGGGAGAGTGGGAAACACACTGCCAAGAGCCAGAGGATTCCTAGGCAACCCGAGGCCTGTTTCTACACAGATAGCCTTAGTCATGAGCACTGGGAGAGGAGACTCCCTCTGCCTTGCAATCAGAGATATCAGAAGATTGTTTCCAAGCCCAGGCTGCTGCTGCTATCTGTGATGCATCAGCAGCTCAAAGGGAAATGGTTTGAAAGTACAGAATGGCCTGGACGGTGTACCCAGAGCGCAGTGTAGCTCTCTCTGGAAGGCAGGTAATTGGGCAAAACGGGTTTTGTGCTTTTTTTATGGCTGTTGTTTGCTCTTTTTTTCACGATCCTGTTGTTAAACCTTTCGAGTGGGATACTACCTCTTGGTGACCACCTCGTGTGTAACAGTGTAGAGCAGGGGTCCTCAGACTTTTTAAACAGGGGGCCAGTTCACTGTCCCTCAGACCCGTTGGAGGGCCGGACTATAGTTAGAAAAAAAAAAAAAGCTATGAACAAATTCCTATGCATACTGCACTTATCTTATTTTGAAGTAAAAAACAAAACGGGGCAAAAACACCCGGCGGGCTGGATAAATGTCCTCAGGGGGCCGTAGTTTGAGGATGCCTGGTTTAGAGCCTTGTTTTAAAATATGAACAAACAACAAAAGATCACCAGATAGTTGAG